TTAACACAAGCAGTCACTACTCTCTACTTCCTAATTGTGACTCTAATCTAAAGAGCTGCCTCGTGCTTCTGTCACTGCCATGCCTTTCCCCACCATGATGAACTGTAGCCTTGACCTCTAAGCCAAAATAGACATTTCCTTCCCTAAGTTCCTTTGGTCAGGCATTTTGTTGTAGCAAGGAGGACAGTAACTAGTACAGACTGCTGTTTGTTTTGTATGTTTCTTTTGGTTCTTCCGTTCTTCAATTTCTTTTTTGTGTTAAATGTATTCTGTCTACTATAACCTTTTAATTCCTTTGTAACTATGCTTTTATTTCAGTTTTCAGTGATTGCTGTAGGTGTTACAATTAAAATTGCAACTTGAATACTATTATTCCTTTATGAGGTTAGTTTTAAACAGAATAAAAAAATCATAAACAAAAATACTTTGCTTCATAAAATCTGTGTACTTATCTTCAGGTTAATATTTAATTCTTCAATTTCAACATGAATTAGTGTTTCTTATAAATCTGGTAGCAACAAGTTTTATGTTTTGTTTATCTTAAACTTTTTTCATCTTCATAGAACAGTAATGCTGGATATAGAATTTTAAGTTGATGATATTTTTCTTTTACTATTTTGAAGTTGTCAGCATACCATCTTCTAGCCTCATGGTTTCTGAAGAGAAGCAATTGTTAGTCTTAAGTCATTTTCATTTTTATTTCGTTAAAAAAAATCACTTAGTCCAGACTTCCCTAAAAACTTTCAGACTAATCAGAATGAAGAAAGGGGATGGGGATGTGCTTCTTTATCCTTCTTCTTCTCCCGGTCACGGTATCCCTCCCTCCACTCCTCCTCACCCCACTCCCAACCTCTCCGCTCCCCCAGATCTTCTCCTCCTGGATAATGCTTCATACAGTGTATGTACTTGCATGAAAATTTTAAAAAGACAAAACGGACTTGATATAATTAATATGATAGCTATATAATATAAACAACACACTTAATAGAGTGTAAAGTGGCAGTAAACTATCAAAGAACTACATGCAAAATGAAAATAATTGACAGCAAGCTACTCCCATGACACAGACACAAATTGATGTCTGTACTTTCCAGGTTTGCTCTTAACTTTCCATTATAAGCCACCGATCATTGAGGCTTCTTTCAAGTATGAGGTTTTTAACATTAATCATACTTTGAGGACTAGGGATGCAGTTCAGCGGTGACGTGATTCAGCACTCGCCTGGAAGTCCTGAGCTGCAAGTTCTGTTCCGAGCACTGCAAAAGGTCCACATATAGACCTTTGAAATTACCTTCTATCTAAAAAATAAGAAAATAAGGCCCAGCAAGATGCGTTGTGTAAAGACAATTGCCCCAGGTGACCTGAGTTTGATTCCTAGAACCTACATAGGTGGAAGGAGAATAGGACTCAACAGAGCTGTCCTCTGACCTCCACGTGCATACCGTGGTGTGCATGTGAATGCTCACACACACACACACACACACACACACAGAGAGAGAGAGAGAGAGAGAGAGAGAGAGAGAGAGAGAGAGAGAGAATGATAATTTAAAAATTACCCTCTACCCCCCCACTGCCTCTCTGCCAGCACATCGTTGCTAGACAGTGATGTGGGGTGCTATCTAATGGGGAAACAAAGCAAACTCTTCCATTTCTAAAATGACAAGTCCCAGCCAATGGAAATGAAAGAATTTAAGTGACCAAATGTTACCGTTTGTAATGGAAAAATGTGAAGTATGAAGATAATTTAACTAAACTTCATTCCTTTCTTTGAAGCAACAAGTATTCCCAAGACTAGCAGTAAGTTGTATTTAATTTGCTGTGCATACAGAGCTACAGAAACTTAGATTTGCTCTGAAACATACAACCTCATTAAATATTGCCTCCTATTTCCCAGTTTAACTTGTTAACAATTCCTTCCAGGGAAAAGAAATATTTTCCACTCTTCAGAATTCTTTGTGAGTGCTTGGAGCTGCACCCAATTCTCTGCAAGAGCATTAAGTACTTAAGACCCCGAGCCATCTCTCCAGCCCCAGGGCTGATGATTTTTTGATTGATCTTCTGTCTGGCAATAGTTTTAAAAATCTAATTTACCTAAATATGTAGAACTAGCCCTGCTCTCATTCAGTCTCCATTGACATGGAGTATCATTTCCGGCATTTCACTTTAGTTCATATGCATCCTTAATGATTGAATATCTTATAAGCAGCTCATAATTGGGTATAGTTTTGTTACTCCAGTTAGCCTTTTGATTGGAGACTTTAATCTACTTAAACTCAAGTTAATTATAAGAAGGTTTTTTTGTAACTCAAGTGTTTTTTAAAATTTTTTTTTTATTTATTCTTCTCTCATATATTACACTCCCGCTGCAGTCTCCCCTCCTTCGGCCCCTCTTCACTCCTGCCATCCACTCTTCCTCCTCTATTCAGAAAAGAACAGAGCTCCCATGGATGCCAGCTCGCCATAGGACATCAAGTGAGACTAGGAACCTCTCCTCTTGTTAAGGCTAAATAAGGCAATCCCATAGGAGGAAAGGCTCCCAAAAGCAGGCACCAGAGTCAGAGGCAGGCCCTGCTCCCACTGTTAGGAGTCCCACAAGAAGAAGTTACATCACTGTCATAGATATACCGAGTGCCTAGGTCAGTCCCGTGCAGGGTCCCTGGTTGTCAGTTCTGTGGGGTTTCTTGTGTCTTGACCCCATCAAGGCTAATTCAAGCTGACAGCAACTTTGATTGGATTAGGTGACTATGCTTGTATTTCATTCTAGCTACGTCTCAATTTTTGATGTCACAGCCTACATTTTTGTATTGTGTGTTTGTTAAATTGTTGCACTATTCTTTTAACATTTTGTGTCTTAATATTCATAGTAAAGGTATAAGATTAAAGAATTCCTTTTAGCATTTCTTAAAAGACAGTTATGGATGACTAACTTCCTCAGATTTTGTTTGTCTGGTGAAATCTTATGTCTCTCCATCTGTGAAGAACAACTTTGCCAGGTACAATCTTCTTGATTGGGAAGGTTTGGTTTGGTTCACTGTAGCAGACTGACTAATGACCCTCTCACTCTTTCCTACTAACGAATCTGATGCCACCCTTATTGCAGCTCTGTGTGTTGCTTGCTTCTTTTTGCCACTTTCAGAATCCTTTGTTCTTGGTTTCTGATGATTAACTCTGTCTTTCTCAAGTCCTCTTTGCATTGGATCTGATTGAATCTCTTGGACTTTCCCATACTTAGATAATTATATCTTTTGTAAAAGTCAAAAAGTTTTCTATTCTCTTTGAGTTCTTTGTCCCTTTGTCTTTCTCTTCTCTGTCGTGTACTTATGTCCTTTTGATGTTGTCCCATAGCGTTTTCATTTGCATTTTTTTATTCTACTCTGACTATATATTTTCAAATAGAGTGCCTTTGGGTTCACGGATTATTTTCTCTTTTGGATTCTTTTGATTCTCTGTATTATAAACTTCAATGATTGCGTTTTTCCACTCCAGAATTTTTGTTTGATTTTTTTTTTTAGAATAATTTCTGTGACTTTGTTAATTTTTCCTTTTGGTCACTTAGCGTTGTCTTGCTAACACTGAATTGTTTTCCTCTCTATTCTCTTGGCTGACAATGAGCTTTTCAATAATTATATTGAACCCTTTTCAGATAGTTCTTTACAGTTGGTTGCTGGTGCTTTCCTTGACTACTTTACCACTGTGTTTCTCTGATTGTTCTTGATCCCTGTGACTATGGTTTTGTCTCTGTACATTTGAAGAAGTGGGATCTTATTTCCATTGTTCCAAAGTGGCTTTTTCTGTGACAGCCCATTCCGCCTGGTCAGTATGTTTATCAGACAAGCTTAGTGTGGCAAAGTTTGTTCCTGATACCTGAGTTACTAAGGTGAACCTCATGCCTGGGTCTATGTTATTAAGCCTAGAATTTTGGATGCAAGAGCACTGACCTATTGATTGTGTCTGAAGCAGTAGGCTTAGAGCTTATGTCCATGGGTTTCCTCAAATAGGAGTGTGAGGTCTAGGTCCACAGAGTCTACTGAGTACTCAAGGGTGAGCCTTGAGTTTGAGTCTACAGAAGCAAGCCAGGCTTTTGGATGGTGTCTGATCTGTTGGCATGCACCTAAATCCTGTCAGTGAGATCTGGCCTAGCATGGGGACTGTCTTGCAATCTGAATCTCTGTGGCTGGGTTCTAGATTCTGGATCTAGAAGACCTAAAGCTTGCATATACAGAGACTGGCCAGGTAGTACTGCCTGCTGGGGTAAACATGGATCCTGTCTATGCTGGAGAAGACTTAGGATATGAATTCCATGGAGCCTGAAACCATGGGGGCTGACTTAGATCCTGGGTAGGACTGGTATTGGGCAAGTATAGGGCATAGATCTCTGGGGTTCAGCCCAGCATTGAAGTCTGCTTGGGATATACTTGGACCTTCATTCTGTTAGAATAGCCTAGACAGTGGACCTTATAGAATGTAGAGATATAGGGGCCTATCACTAAGCAGGCCTAAAACATGTGTCTGTGGCACCAGCTTGGTAACTACAGTCAAGAGGGCTAACCTTAGGATGAGGCAGGCCTGAGGCTACAAAGGCTGGCCCACTGCTAGGGTGGACCTGAAGTGTAGGGCCCAGGGTCACTGGGGCATGATTGGCTATGAAGTAAACTAAGTATGTGAGGTCTGGCCTGGTACTTGGACAGGTTTGAGTCTTTGGCCATTCTGGAACTTGTGACCACTTGAGTTCTAGTATTGGGTTGGTTCTGAACCTATCAGGAACAAGTAGCCTGAAACTTTGGGGAATATGGCACCTGGATGGGCCTTGAGGCTATCATCAGGCACTGACCTAGAGTCTTGGACTGTGGTAGCTGCCCAGAGCTGGACTTTACTGGAATCAGCTCAGTTTGGGTATCCAAAACAAGGCTATTGGTCGTGTTTGGGGGATTAATGGACGCTGTGATACAGAACTGGCTTTTCTGCATGTCTTCAGTGTGTCTTCTTACTCTCTACTCTAGGTACTGGAGCCCGCCGCCTGCTTTCCTTAGCGTGAATAATAGTGGTTTCATGGAAGGGAAGACAAATGATAGAAAGCTCCACTCTGCCATCTTGATGACATCTGAATTTTCTAGATTTTGTTCAGATTTATTTTGTTTTGGTTTTTGTTTACTGCTATTATATGTGAGTATTTTTGGTTACTTCTATGTATTTGTTGAATTCTGGATACTAATTCTATGGATTCTGTATTCTCTAATCCTATGGATTCTGTATTATGTGGCTCCTGAGTTTTCTTTCAACATATTTTAAGTTCGTGTTTTTATTTTTAAGCCTGGATTCCTAAGGATCATGCCTAGGTGAATAAGTTTTGTAATCAGCCAATAATTGATGAGAAAAATCTTAAATATTTATATATTTTTCACTTTTTGTTGTGAAGATCTGTGTATGAAAACATACCTACATATTTCAGAGAGTTTTTGAGACCACCTAAGTTTTCATTTTCTGTTTGCACAAGGCCTTCACAGTTAGACAGAAGTGAGTGACTTTAGTCTTTGCCTGTTTTCCTGAGCATACACACAGCCCGTAAAATCCTTATTAATATATCAGAGCTTTTCAAAGTTCTGGTTGTATCAGTCTCTAAAGTTTTCTTTTCATGTCAGGTCTGGTGACTTTTAATCCCGGCACTCTGGAGGCAGAGGCAGTAAGATCTTAGAGTTTGAGGCTAGCCTGATCTACCCATTTTATCCCTTTAAATTCCCAAGGTGGTAAAAGACATTGTCCGGAACTTTGTCACCTTTGAGCTAACACACCAGAGACTGGTAGAAAGTTCACAAAGGGAATAGCCACAATGACAGTGCTATAAACCCTATATTTCTTCAAGATTCAGTAGTCTCTGTAAATGGAGACTGCACTTTTGTTTCCTGACCACCCAGACCCGAATAATCCCACAGAAACTGTATTAATTACAACACTGTTTGACCAATGGCTCAGACCTGTTCCTAGCTAGCTCTTACATCTTAAATTAACCCATTTCTATTATTTTATTTTTTACCATGAAGTTTGTGGTTTGTTACCTTATATCTTGCTTCTTGGGCAGCTACATGGCATCTGCCTAACTCTTCCTTCTTTCCTCCTCTATTGCTGTTTGGATTTCCTACCTTATTATATTCTGCCCTGCCATAGGCCAAAGCAGCTTCTTTATTAACCAATGGTAATAAAACATATTCACAACATACAGAGGGGAATCCCACATCAAGTCTCTTGGATCATTTTCACTTCATTGTATGACTATGGTTAATTGCCATAGTTCTGAAATGATTTGATTGGTTTGCTCATTTTTTAGTGTTCTTGGGGGGAAAGTGAGTTCATTAAAGTCCTTTCTCAGCCATTCTGTGTATTTCCTAATTCTCCCATTTTTAAAATAAGTGTTTTGGAGGTATGGGTGCATTTGTGTGTGCAGGTGGGTGTGGGTATAGATGTGAGTATATGTGGGTGCTGGTGATGGAATCCAGGGCTTTATACATGATAGGCAAATGATCAGCCCTAGTGCTCAGGTGTTTTTAAGAATTATTTTTATATTTTAAATTATATGTGTATCTCTGTGTGTGGGTGTATACACAGGAGTGCTGGTGCCTGTGGAGCCCAAAAGAAGGTATCATATGTTAGATATGGGACTGAAGAAATGGTTCAGTTAAGAGCCTTTGGTGATCTTGAAGAGAAGTTGAGTTCAGTTCCCAGCACCTTCATCAGGCAATTCACAACCACCAATAACTCCAGCTCTAGGGGTTATGTCTTAGTCAGGGTTTCTATTGCAATGATAAAACACTATAGTCAAAAGCAAGTTGGGGAATAAAGAATTTTTTTACATCTTCGAAGTCTCAGATTATACTCTATCACTGAAGGAAGTCAGGGCAGGAACCTAGAGCCAGGAACTGATGCAGAAGCCATAGAGGAGTGTTGCTTGCTGGCCTGCTCTTCACAGTTTGCTCAGCTGTTTGTTTGTTTGTTTGTTTGTTTGTTTGTTTGTTTGTTTTTCAAGACAGGGTTTCCTCTGTGTAGCCCCGGCTGTCCTGGAACTCACTCTGTAGACCAGACTGGCCTCGAACTCAGAAATCTGCCTGCCTCTGCCTCCCAAGTTCTGGGATTAAAGGCGTGTGCCAACACCACCCAGGACCACCAGCCCTAAAATGGCACTGCCCACAGTGAGCTGGGCCCTCCCACATTGATCATTAGTCTAGAAAATTACTTCACAGACTTGCCCATAGGCCAGTCCGGTGGGAGCATTTTCTCGGTTGAGGTTCCCTCTTTCCAGATGACTCTAACTTGTGTCAAGTTGATAGAAAAGTAACCAGGACAGAGTCCAGTGCCCTCTTCTGCCCTCTGCAAACACCTAAACACACATGGCATACACTCACAGACATGTACACATACACATAAATAAAACTAAAGATAAATACTTAATTTGTTTATTTATGTGTATGTTTGTGTTTCTCGATGTGGGTTTGGGCTTCTGAGTACAGGTTTTGTGGAAGCCAGAAGAAGGCGTTGGATCCCCCTGGAGCTGGAGCTACAGGCAACTGTGAACCAAGCAAGGTTGCTGGGAACTGAAGTTGGGGTCCTGTGGAAGAACAGGATGAACTGTTAACTGCTGAGCCATCTCTCCAGCCCCAAAGGTAAATCTTTTAAAAATACATTTTAAATTATGTTCAATAAATGAAAAAAGAATCTATATTATACAGATGGGTTATAAAGATAATTTATTGAAAACTCGAGAGCCTACCACTCCATGCAAGAGTGGCATTAATGATAGTATCTATCTCTGTGTCCCATGTCCCTGCCTGTATGCCCCATCAAAATCGCTACTGCTAGCCAGGTACTTGTCTTTAATCCCAGCACTGGAGAGGCAGACATGGGGGATCTCAGTCAGTTTCAGGCCAACCAGGACTATATAGTGAGACCTTGTCTTAAAAACAAGTTGCTACTGGGGTTGGAGAGATGACTCAGTAGTTAAGAGCTCTGGCTGCCCTTCCAGAGGACTCGGGTTCAATTCCCAGTAGCCACATGGCAGCTCACACCTGCCTGTAACTCTAGTTCCAGGGGATCTGATACCCCACACACAGACAAACATGCAGGCAAAACACCAATGCACATAAAATTTTAAAAAAATATTAAGTCAGCTGGCAGTGGGACACACCTTAAAAAAAAAAAAACAAGTTGCCACCCCTAAATTTGTGTTTCACATTATCTTGCTGTTTTGGACATGTGGAATTTTTTTTCAAATTTGTGGGACTGTTTAACCAATACATTGCATATTGGCTTGGTTGTAAGCTTTTGGAAAATAGTATCATACTTGTTTGACTTTTTATTTTTTATTTTTTTGGAAAGACATGAACAAATGTCTCTTCACCCCAGATAGGACATTGACAATGGACTAAAGAAAGTATTCCACCCAGGTCTAGATTGATGATCTATAGCTGCTTCTCTCCTTGCTCTGACAAAGCCACCTAAGGAAGGAAAGGGGTGTTTTGATACGCACTTTGAGTAGAGCCTGTCATTGTCTTCGTTTGCTTTCTGTGGCAAACACCATGGCCAAAAGCAACTTGGGAAGGAAGAGATTTGTTTCCTATTACAGCTTAACGTTTATCAAAAAGGGAAGTTAGGACAGAACTCAGAGCAGAAACTTGGAAGCAGAAATTGAACCAGAGGCCATGGAGGAATGCTGCCTAATAGCTTGCTCAGCCTGCTTTTCTTCTTTTCCTTTTTTTAACTTTTAAAATTTAATATATTTTTAATTAAAGTATATTTACATCATTTCCCCCTTCCTTTTCTTTTTTCTCTTTCCTCCCATCCCCCCACACCATTTCCCTCTCAAATTTTTTTTCTATTTTTCTCTATTATTATAATATAGATATACAAATACAAATAGGTTAAATACAACCCTCTGGGTTAGTCTTTTCTATGTGTCTCTCTGTGTGTAGATATTTCAGCACTGACCACTTTGTATTCTATAACTAGAGAGGGGCTCATCCCTGGGAGAGGCTATTTTTCCGTCTCCCAGTAGTCATTAGTTCCCCGTAGTTCTTTGTCTAGGAGAGAGACTGAGGTTTTACCCCCTTCTCTGTTAGCATGGCTGGCTATTAATATTGTCATTGATCAGATCTTGTTTAGACAGCCATTTTGTTTGGTTGGTTTTGGTTTTTGAGACAGGGTTTCTCTGTGTAACAGCCCTGGTTGCCTGGAACTTGTTTTGTAGACCAGTCTAGCCCTGAACTCACAGAGATCCACCTGCCTCTGCCTCCCGAGTGCTGGGATTAAAGGCGTGTGCCACCACCACCTGGCTCTTCAGCCATTTTTAAGAGACAAAGTCTCACAACAAACAGACTTACTGATCACCTGGCTCTTACAATCTGTTTACCCCCTCTTCTGTAATGTTCCTTGAACCTTAGCTGCAGGAGTTGAGGTGAAGATGCATTCACTGTGGCTAGGTTCCTATGATCCTTTGATCTCTACATTGTGTCCAGAAAAATTAAATCATGAAATTTGCAGGTAAATGAATAGAACTTGAAATGTTATATTGAGTGAAGTAGGCCAGACCCACAAAGTTAAATGCCACTTATCCTCTCTTCTCTGCCGTTCCTAACTCCAAATGTTCAGATGTGAGTATACAACATGAAATAACCAAAGAAACTGAGAAACCATGGAGTCGGGGGATGTGTGAGGAATAGAGGATATAGGTGAAATGAAATGGGAAATGGGGAGGGGGCCCTTTAACAGGGGAGAGGAAGGATACAGAAAAAGGGAAGAGAGAAATAAAACCAAGGTTATTTGATAAAACCTTCAGAAATTTTTTATATATAAAATTTCTAATATATAGTGCAAGAAATGCTTGGACCAAAGTAAAAATAAAATTCAGTATGGAAAACACAAACTCCTGCAGTTCTGTGTTGGGGCATCTGGAACTCATGATAAATTTATCTGGGCTCAAAAGGGCTTGAGGAGCCCCACCCCTCCATCTCTGCTTCCTGCAGCGCACTCTTGGAATGACTTATCTCTATGCCTGCAGAGCCTCCATGGTTCTACCATCTCCACAATTCTGGCATCTCCACAATTTAGGCTTCACCTTCACAGCTTTACACAGTGGCCTCTTAGGTATTCCAGGAACTCAAACCCTGCCACACATTGTCTGGCCTCAAGGCAGTCTGGAACCACAGTGCAAGACTCCATGACCCCCCTTAATCCTGCATCCTTCATGCCTTCAAAACAAGGATCATGTGAATGACTTTCAAACACATTCTGCTGCCAGGTCAGAATGGACAGTGGCCTCACTCACTTCTTGCTACCAGTTTTCTGTGTTAGTTATGATGTTGCTGCAATGAAGCAACCCATGGAAAGATTTATTTCTGTGAAATATAGTATTCTTACTAATTTGTTTAGTATTTCATACATACATACAATGGTTGGGGGTTGCTTCTTCTTTTCTTTTCTTGCTTTTTTTTTCTTTTTGTGAGGAAGGATCTCATTATGTAGCCTTGTCTGGTGTGGAACTCACCAGGTAGACCAGGTTGACCTGGACCTCACAGAGACCCACCTGCTGCTGCTTCCTGCGTGCTGGGGTCAGAAGGTGTGCACAACCACACCTGCCTCACATACAATACATTTCAGTCATTTTCACTCACCACTCCTTCTCCTAACTTTTCCCATCCCCATCCAACTTGGAGTGTATTAGATGGGGGGCCCTTGAGCCTTCGCCTTCTGTGCTGGAATGTTGACTGCCGTGATTCTGTGCAGGCCACCACAGCTGCTGCGACTTTACGAGGGCCGCAGTCCCGTGGTATCCAGAAGACACTATTTGACCTGATGCTCCCTGACCTCTGGTTCTTACCTTCTTTCTGCCCCTCTTTTTCAATAGTAGGAAGGGTTTGTTTCAACTCAGAGTTGGAGGGTACAGTCCGTCGTGGTGGGAAGGCCATGGCAGCAGGCGCTTGAGGCAGTTGTCCGCATTGTCTTCACAGTAAGAAGCAGTGATGGATGTATGCACTCAGCTTACAGTCTCCTTTCTGTTCAGCCTAGGGCCCCAGTGTGTTAGAACGGTATCACACACATTTTGGACAAAACTTTCCACCCGAGTTACCCTGATCTAGATAATCCCTCACAGACATTGCCGAAGGTTCGCTCTTCCCTATTCTAGATCCTGTCAGCTTGACAGTCAGTATTAACCACCACATGAACCAATGAGTGCATTGTAGCTACCCGTAAGAGAATAGGAGATCGAAGACAAGCTCCATCGCTGAAATGCTCACCCCAGCATGAACAATAACTCACAAGAGCTTCATCTTGGGAGCTTCTTGCCTGTCCTGTATGAGTCTCCCACTGAGTCTCCACTCCCCATTAATTTCTTACTGCTTTTAGAAACTTGCTAAGAGATCCTGTGAACTTGCTGGGCCTTGGAAATCTCTTTTGCTTTTTGAGTCTTAAACATCTGCCTTCTCCCTTCCAGAGAGTGTTTCAATTCCGATGAAATAGCTACAGAACGATATTATATGGTTTCCTGTAACTTACTTTTTCATCAGTATTATATTTCTGAGAGTCACATTTTTTGCTCTGTGTGATTGTAGTTCATGATCAATGATGTGTAACATTTCAGGTGATCATAAAACAAAGAATCCATGTTTCTGTTGATGGACATTTGGATCCTTTCAGCTTTTTGCTCTTATGAACATCACTGCTTAAATGTTCTTTGCTTGTCTCTGCTTCCCATATACCTAGGAATAAGGTATATGTCTAGGAGTAGTAGAGTTGCTGGCTAATAAGATCCATGAAAGTTTAGCCTCACAGGATTCTGTCGAACCATATTCTAAAAGATGATACAACGGAATGAAAGATTCTGTTGACCCATAGCCTCATCTACTTGATATAATCCCACCTATTTTTGTCAATATAGTGTAAAATGATATTTTAATATAGACTCAGCATCCTACTTATCATCAGTATAGCTGATCATCTTTTCCTGGTTGTTGATCAGGTTTTCTCTTTTGCTAAAGAGCTACTAATATTTTTCATACATTTGAATCTTTAAAATAATTTTTGTTAATTTGTAGGAATTCTTTTGTTTTGGATTCTCATAATATGCTGGGTTGTGTGTCAGATCTTTTCTCTCTGTCTTGATTAATTACTTGGTTAATTACTATTGCTGCAGTGAAACACCATGACCGAAAGCAAATTGAGGAGCAAAGAGTTTATTTGGCTTACACTTCTACATTGTAGTCCCTCACTGAAGGAAACCAGGACAGAAACTCAACAGGACAGGATCCCGGCGGTAGGAACTGATGCAGAGGCCCTGGAGGGGTGCTGCTTACTGGCTTGCTTCCCCTGGCTCGCTCAGCTTACTTTCTTATAGAACTTAGGACCACCAGCCCAGGGGTGACACCATCCATAATGGTTAGGCCCTCCCCCATAAATCACACATTAATAAAATGTCCTACAGACTTGCCTACAGCCTGAACTTATGAAGACATTTTCTCAATTGAGGATCCCATCTCTCAAAAGACTTTAGCCTGTGTCAAGTTGACATAAAACTAGCCAGCATACTCTCCATTTGTGGCTTTTTGCTTTATTGTGTCTTTCCATGAGCAGATTTTTCCCCTGTAATGCTGAGTGAGGCCAGAGCTCTATA